AGGAGATGAACAGAAAGACTTAGCAGAAAGCAGTTGGATAATAAATAACTTATTGAACGTGTGTAGTATCGCTGAGTAATTTTACTCGTTGTTTGTATTTTGACTCACCCTACGGGCTCGACTTAAATCTCATGAGGTTCTTAAAATTAATATACTGAACTTCACACTTGAATATAATTTCTTATGCACTCATACTAGAATGCAACGTAGTGAACCAAACCCCTGCTTCAGAGTTTTGGGATCGAAAAGAATTTTATAATACGATTCGCTGTCATTAATAGTGACCTTCAATATTACGGAAAATAGACTTGAACCAATCTTTTCTTAAGTTTTAGACTATTGGCCAGACTTAGTTAGATGTAGTGTTGGTAAACTTTTGCCCTTTAAGTAAAACTGTTAGTGTATAACTGAAAAGTCCTGCACTTCATCCTGAGGGGTGGGGTGAGGGTTAAGAAACGAGGATGCACTATTGACTTTAATGTCTCATCTTCCAATTTACTTAATGACTGAGTGGAAGAGCCAGACAGGAGAATATTTGACTCGAGATCATGACCGAGAGCCAAACATTTTCCTGTCCATCATATTATGCGAAAACTTAAGTAATTGTTTTATTATACATTTTTTTGGAAACAATCTGCCAAGAAAGACACTTCTCTCTGAGTTTACAAAAGTTTGAGAACACTTCACGGACGAGGGGCATAGAAACTAGGAAGACTTTGAACTCAACATAGTAACCCAATATCTGCTGCAGATACTGGGTTATCCCGTCAACTTCACACGCCTATGTATACTAACTAAATTCTCTCAACCAATCAGAGTTTTCATAGTTACTCTAATGTATAACAATATTCCTTATTACTTTATTAATGTCAGAATAGCCATAGTTGTTGTGTATTGACAGATAATTATATTGACGATGTAAACGTTTGAACGTCCACAAATCAACAATTAGTTTGCAAAAACTCGTTCTGTAACTATATAATTTTACACTCAACAAAATTAAAGCAATTAAGAACTGAATTTTACATATGATCCACCGCATGTGGTAAACAAATATCATGTTTAACTCATTTTTCCGCAAGGTTTGTTCTTGTCATTATGTAGTTTCATTAAATTGACCGAAATGAACCATATTGTATTTGTTTGCCAAGGATTAGACATGCAATTCTGTAGATATTGTTGTAAGAGCAGTTTTTTTTGCTGATACTTTTTTTTTTTTTTTTTAATCAGAGGGCACGGTAACGAATCCTACAATCTGATTGGTTCTTTACCCGGTCAGTATTTTCCTATCTCTGCCCACGGGCCACGGTAACGCTTTGGTGAGTCGCCGAGTACATCCCTATTTCCCTACCATTCCTACTTTACATTTTTCATAAATAAATCTCGTTTTTCCGGCTGGGCAGTATTTTTAAGCAAAGACGTTGATCGCAACCTCAAGCCGATAAATAACTCATTAATTCTCTCTTTTCGCTCTCTCAAATCACTTTGGTTGACAGAAAATATTGGTTTCAAAATGAATTTGTATTAGCAATAGTGTCATTACGTGACAAGCGGCCTAAAAACCGTCAATAATTAATTTTAATCATTCACAAAAAGTACCTAGAAAGTTAAAACATGAGGTATTTGGTTAAAGTTGAACTAATCAATGAAAAAAGGCCGCATTGAATCTTCTCGTGTCTCGTTCGAGTGTATCATTCGAATTTAGTTTTTGTGGAGGAAAGACCAGATTTACACACGCCATTGTAGCAAACAAATTAAACGAGCAAACTCTCACAACTTCAAAAAAAAATTTGAATTTACTTACAATTACTTTCCTCGCCGTTTCCTTAAAAAACAGAGGTAAATCTTCGTACATGAATTAATCGTCGATGAGGGTGAATAGTACTTCCCGTTTGATTAGAAACTCAGTGTTTTTGAAGAAAACATCGTCGTGACAGTCCTTGCCAAACTAGTTTCGCTGTTTTTCAAAAGTGTACATGCGCTTTTTTTTCTTACGCACTCTCTAATTG